ACACATATGTGCTGTCCTGAAGATAAAATCATTCGAATTCCGGATTCATTTTTTAAGAACAACAACTTGTCTACTCTTCCCTATATCAACTCTGCCCCATTCCCACGAGCTCCTTTTCTCTCTTCCACAGGGAACCCGCTTCTATCATGCATAAGCTATAACATTAGTATCAATATTTGAAATTTTTTACAAATAATCTACATTCTGATTAGTTCTTAACAAATTATGATCTTGTAAATATTCATTTCCTCTTATTATTTAGAAAATTATTTTATTATTATTATTATTATTAAGGCTTCATTAAAAACACAAATTTTAACTTGTTCACAAGTACAGTATTCGAAAGGCATAATTAATTTATTTGTGATTACATAAAGGTTATTGTAAGTTTGTTTTTTGATAATGGCCGGCATTAAGTATGCTTGTTACAAAAAATGCACTTAAATGCAATCGAGATGGTCCTGAAGGGGGCAGGGGGGGGAGTCCTCATCCGATTTCCAATAGTCCATTAATATAACCGTGTATAACCTTCATACGTTAATGTTTATTCGGGTAAAATGTCAATGTATTTTATTATACACGATACCGAATAAAAAAGTCTGTCTGTCTGTCTGTCATTAATTGACCAAATCCCATATTCCCAGCCTATGCTTTGCTCAAATATCAATCTCAACCCCATTCCCATTTTTCGATTGTTTTGTTTGTTTATGAATCCCATTCCCAGTGCATGAAATCTCATTTTCCCAGCTCCCATTTTACTCCTTCAGGACCCTTAATTAATACTGAAGTACGTTTAGGGTTTTTGTGCACCTAAACTTACCGTTACTAGGTACTGATTTCTTTTATCGTAAATAACAGCAGCTCTTTTCCAATTGAACCTTTTCATGAATGCCATTCGAGCTGCTATCTCTTGTGGGATACCAGACGAAGCACTCATAACAAAACTAGTCTTTTGAGGATCTTCGACTATTTTTGTAGTATAGGGGACCTTTAAGGAAAAAAATTATTAGGTAAAAAATAGTTAAAAATTGGCTTCCCGGGTTGTTTCAGGGATCGACATATGCGTTAGCCGTACCCTGACTTAGATCAGCCCAAAGGTTGTTTCGGGGTTCAATATTTGTGAGTTAGCCGTACCCTGTCTTAGATCAGCTCAGAGGTTGTTTCAGGGTTAAGTCTGTGAGTTAGCCATGCCCTGACTTAGATCAGCCCAAAGGTTGTTTCAGGGTTCGATCTGTGAATAAGCCATGCCCTGACTTAGATCAGCCCAGAAGTTGTTTCAGGGTTCAATTTGTGAGTTAGCCGTGCCCTGACTTAGATCAGCCCTGAGGTTGTTTCAGGGTTCAATTTGTGAGTTAGCTTTGCCCTGACTTAGATCACCCCAGAGGTTGTTTCAGGGTTCAATAAAAAAGGAGTAAACGGATGTCCGTACTGACTCACCAAAAGACACGCAATTATGTTGACTGTCGTGGCTACATAATCTAATAAAGATGATAAGGCAGGCCCTATAACTGCTGTTGGAATCGGGTTACTTTGGGTTATCTGGTATGCTTTCGATATAGCCCATCCCGGAATTCCCTTCGAAGAGCAAAAATGGGGGAAAATATCAATAATTTAAAGTTAGTTGTTGATGATGATGATAGGTGGGTTTGGGGTAGGTGGTGACGATCGTGATGATGCCGGGTAGTGATGATGATTATGGGAAGTATGCTTGGTGTGTGTAATAAAGTGCCGCAATTCACGAGTTCGAATTCCGGCTCGGTGTTGTATGAGTAGATTTGGTTCTCTGTGTTCTGAGGGTTTTTTCCCTCGGGTTTTCAGGTTTTCCTCCGTCTTCAAAAATCAACTTATAAATTCCAGTTCAATCTTGGGCTTTCAACTACTTGGAACGTGATGATGATGATGGTACGGTGGTGATGATGGTGATAATAACAATGGTGATGATGATAATGATGATGATGATGATAATGATGGTGATGATGATGGTGATGATAATAATGGTAATATTGGTGATGGTGGTGACGACGACGACGACGACGACGACGATGATGATAATGAGGATGATACATACTTATTACATACTTTATTATTTGGTATTTACAAGTCATAGATATATAAATTAACAAGAATTCAGGCACAAGCTACCTATAATAACCTAAAGGTTAGCCAAGATGGCGAGGGTGATAATAATAATAATAATAATAATGGTGATAATGATGATGATCAGATAATGGTTATGATGATGGTGATGATGGTGGTAATAGTGGTGGCGATGGTGGTAGTGGTAGAGGCAGTAGTAGTGGTAGTGGTAGTGGTAATGGTAATGGTAATGGTAGTGGCAGTGGTAATGGTAGTGGCGGCGGCGGTGTTAGTGGTAGTGGCACTGGCAGTGGTAATAGTAGTAGTGATAGTGGTGATGGTGATGGTGTTGGTGTTGATGACTATTATGATGATTACTACTCACGAATGTATCTTCTATAACCAAATTCAGCTGATATCTATCGGTTAGAGTCTTGAACCGAGTACTATTTTCGACGAGTGACTTGGCCAGATGAACAGACCGATTGTAACCAAAACTGTCAAGCAGCTGCGCCTTCCAAAGGAGAGCCCCAATATTTATTATGGGTTTTTCATCACGAGTTTGGTTAGTTTGGTTAGTTTGGTTAGTTTGGATAGCACGTGAAGGCAACGTGAAGATAAGAATGAGAAGCGTAGACACAGACAAGCGAAAACGCATTATTTTTTTAAGGTGAAAATCTTGAGGATACTTGGAAAACCTACGGAGAGAGAAAAAAATGTGGAGTTGTTAGTCATGTTTCAGTTTATGGGTCTTCGAGGCTTTTTCTACGGGTTGTTCGGGTTTATTTCTTACCTAAAAGTTGTGCCCTGACAAGTTGTTTCATATTATCTCATATGAAGAGTAGTGTAAATCAATAAAAATTAAAACAGTTTCAAAAAGCAACCAAGATTAACAATATTAATTGGTTACATCTTAAAAAAATTAGTATAAACAAAAAATTAATTTAAAAAATACGACTTTAATCAGTCAAAGTTTTAAGATTTTGTTAAACAATATTAAAACCTCAAAAATAAGAACAAACAAACTAAAAATTGAAAAATGAATAAGCTTATCAATAGAGAACGGGAGGCTGTTGCCAGAAACGACGAAGACAAAACGAAAAACCAATCATGAAATAAAATAAATATTTTTAAAAAATTCAGAAAATAGAACCTACCTTATATGAACATTGTTTTAGGAATGTTTTTTCGTATTAAAGATATATTTTTTGAGCTCAATATATTTTAAGTAGAGTGTCTTTGAATGTCGATTACCAGCGAGGAAAGTTTTCTTAGCAACGACACCTTTAAACAAATATGCTGGAGTTTGCAAGACGCTTTATCTAACTTATGTGTCGCATGTCAATCATTTCTAAATGGGATTCAAATTAGATTGTGGATATGACGTAAGATCTCTAAGCGCCCTCTTGTGCGGGTACTTTATGCCCTGGCTAAACAGGGAAACATGTTTACCGCGCGCATGTTTCTTCCATGTTTCCCAGTTTAGGCACATGCGTACAAATTGCGCACATACAAATTTTGCTTCCAAGACGCAAAAAATGTTTTTGCTGTGCGGCAGACAAGACGCATGAAAACATTTTTTCCCGATGTTTCCTGACAGTTTTGCCACCTTTAGGAAACATGTTTCCTCGTTTAGCCAGGGCCTTATTCCCGGGATATACTACCTTGAGTAAACATAGCATAAAAGGCCAATAAGAAAAATACTGAAATTTGGCAGTTGGGATGGTAAAGAAGAATTTACGAAGAACATCGTTGTCTCAATAGCTATTCGGCTCTTGGTTAGACTAGATTTATAATATTGTCAAACTTCTTATTTACATGATATATATCAGATTCGAACTTTGCTAGTGAGCTTTTGAAAAAAGAAAATATAAAAAAGAAATTAAGAAGAAAAAAAGATACGATTAGATAGGAAAAAGTCTTCTCACAATAACTATTATTGCAAGTGGTCCTTTCCTTTGTTGAAGTTTTGCATAATATATTACATGTCCGTAATTCGAGACCTTAAAATTATTCCATACATTGTACGTTTTTAACTTCATAAGGTAGCTAGTTATCGATAAAATTGGAAGGTTTTCTTACCTCTTACTCCTTAACGAGGAGTGTAGCTTTTCTTCCTATATTACAAGACGCCAAATCTGATCCGGTATTGTTTTTCTTACATATCTGTTTTTAAAGAATATTGAACTGGAAAGCTTTTGAATGAGGTTTTACTAAATATACTAACGTATTACTAAACTTACTTTAAACTTTGCTTGACAACTAGTGAGGAAGTGTAAACACAGAGCGTAGGAATCTAAGTCTTTTTTTCTAGATCTGCTGTTATATATTTTTGTACTAGAATGAAGTGCTTGTATAAATAAGCGATTTTTAAGTTAAAGACTTCGTGCAGACATGAAGGTAGAAGAGGCGAATAATGTTATCAAGGCAATTACCAGCAATTATTGTTCATTGTCRAAGATTTTCATTAGGATAAATTGTAAATCCTTTTTTACGAATTAACACCATAGCGAAGGATTCTAACAAAAGATATTATACGAATTTTAAGATTGTATTGTTATCAATGATTGAAATAAATTACTTTCTCTAAATCCAATTTAAACTTGATGGCTTATGACGTCGAAAACAATATCCGTTTTGTACTTTGTAAATCTGATTTWAAAAAAATATATTGTGTCCTGATTTTGTTGAACAACTACTAAACGTTGTCTTTAAAAACCTTCTTTAAGGTTAAAGAATACTTTACCTTCTCACTGGTTTGTAATAAAAGTAATTTTTTTAGCACAGAATTATTTTGTTTCATGGGGAGTCTACCTTTTTCATCCCATGCAGTTTTGGAGGGAAATGAGATGAAGGTTGTGATATAATGCGGAGACACTGAGACGCAAACGCGTGCGGGCAAAAATGGCGCGAAAAAATATTGAGGGAGAAAGGAAATATCAATATTTTTTACGAGTACTTGGTATATTTTAATTGAATAATTTGTTATAATATAGTGAAATACTTTGTCAAGTGTTTCTTACAATTCGATTTGGYTTGATCATCGAAAGAGCAAGATTCCCAGATTGAGCTGAATATATTATAGGAGTTCAAGTTGAGAATACGTTTTAATCCTGAAGCTTCGATAAGTGCGCCCCCCTAGAATGGCGTAATTGGATCTAGTATTAAGTAACAGCCGTCGAAATTTGCTTCCTAAATTWAAAAAAAAAAAGGACAAAAGAAAAGAAAGAAAGAAAGAAAAAACTCTAAAGAAAGGATCCAAATTCTGAATTCAAACTATCTCATGAAGCGAAAAATAATTAAAAACCATTGTATTAATCAGTGAAACAACAAATGAACTTTTCTTTTCTAATATTTAATGAGAAAACATGACCTCCAATTTCAATAGATATCGGAAACCTCTCGAGTGTTTACATAACACTTTTTGAGCATTTCATCATGGTAATATCACGGCAAGTGCTTATCCATTCGGCAATGTCATTTTTTCCTCGCTTTAATAAGCTGGACGAAAATATTTATATATTTTCATTTGCATTGCTTGTAGAAATCCAACCAATTTGAAAAAATAAAAATAAATAAACACTCATGCTATATTTTKAGAAATTTGTACAAGAATAAATATATGGTTATTGGGTAGATTGACAAAATTGGATGTTTTTTAAGCAATTTCGTAAAGTTGATGTAGAATTTTGTGCGCACTTTAATTTTTGAACAGGCTCCTGTTGTGAATTAATGGGTGAAAAGATATTAAGGTTTTTCTGCTGTTGGCTTTGCTCTAAGCACATATAAAAAACAAAACTATATTTTTCAATTTTATACTTCTAAACCTTTTTATCCTAATACTTCGAATAAACTTCTAATCGAAATTTGACTACCAAAGTGGTTACGAAAAAACAAAAAATCGGACCATCRTTTTCAAAAGAAAAAAGTGCCGAGAAAATCTAGAACTGCATGTTAGTATAAAGGAAAAAAGGTTCTTAAAAAGGACCACTGCAATTTTTTCTAGTTCACATCATTTTGCAAGCCATGATAGGGTATAAAATAAAAGTTGTGAAATAATATAAAAGTGTAAATTAGCCGTTATAAACCCATCAAACTTGAATCCTAACTGACATTTGGACGAATCATTCTCTCAGAACTAATTACGTTTTTGTACTATTTTTAAGAAATCGATAGCGAGAACTAAAAGCCAAATTGCTACGCTAAAGTAGCGGGATAGGATGGAACAGATAAAGTGATAAGAAAATTTAAGCACGTTTGTTAATTAGGGACTAAAATATGGCGTCATAACACTGACTGTTGCTCTAGATACGTGCCTTTAGCAGGGCGGTGTTTTAAGACAGTTTTGAATAGAAGAAATGTGACGTCCGAACGTCAACAAGATCTTCTAGAAAGACTAACACTTCCTGAACGTGTTTTTAATTGAACAATCGAAAAATTCAGTGCTGGAGAAAATATAGATATTGTCTGTGAAATGGTAATATCAGAAGCTGCACGTTGTGTCTTGTAAAGAAAAAACATTGAACTTATCTTTGAAATGTTTAACTGCACGTCTCGTAAAGTTTCGACTCATTGTTTGTTGAAGAGCAAGAGTTCTCAGTTTTCTTATTTTGAAGAAGTTATTTTGGTTAAATAGCCTAAACAGAGTATTTAATGACCTAGTTTTTCGGTTTGTTTGATTTTGAAGTGGTATTTTTACTTTGATACATGGTCGATACATGATGGTCGGTTAACAGAGGGTGGTCGGTCGAACGAGGTGTTTCGACGCTCGCTTGTGAGGGTTTAACTAAACAAATAAAATTGGATTTAGCAGTGGCATTTCTACAAAATAGCCATTCGTCCACTGAATTTTGATTGGAATTTAGAAGTTGATTTTTGCGGAGGGATAGAAACATTAACCCGGAGAATAACCCTCGAAGCACAGAAGAGAACAAACAAGCTCACATACAACTCTGCTAACTCGAACCTGGTCGCTACGCCACCCGTTTTCCTATATACATGGCGTCTTACTGACTATTTGGTTGGAGTCTGAAACTCGAAATTTGAAAAGGCGCGATTACACGTAGMAATTTTCTTTGCARCTTGTCTTCCATCGGTTTTAATAAGAGACATTTGAAAAACCGTTGCGAGGATAAGAAAACCTCAGGAAATCATGATTGAAAACTCACAAAAAGTAAAACTTTTCATARACATAAACAGATTCTAAAAATGCCTATTCTTCACTTTTCTATTCAAACTTCCTMGATCAAAATATTATCCGTATATAAATCATCCTTACCTGCGAGATCGTCAGACAGTGAGAGAACAGACAATTTCTTAATTTCTTTCAAGTTATACACCGAATATGGCGACCAATTTGAATAACTATTGTTATGCGCTGACTATAGCAACTGACTATAGCAACTGACTCAGTAGCCTCTCATGTATTGTAAACTCTTTTATGTTTCCACGTGAAAACGAGGCTAGTCGTCAGTGCAGAACAATAGCAATTGCCCTAATTCACTATGACGTCACGCCAAAACATTCTATTGTTTAAACGCAAAGGATCATGGTCGTCGGAGGGGGTCAAATCAACGCAAATTCACCGAAAATTGTTCTAAAACCCGTATCAATCCACGAAGAGAAGTAGAATAGCCAGCAAACGCTCAGAATATTTTTTAGTACATATTAACACATACTATATTTGAAAACCAGGCCA